CCTGAGGATACTTTTCTATTTATCATCAGACAGAGTGGGAGGGAGGGAGACAGAGAGAAACATCAATGTGATAGAGCTACATCGACTGGTTGTCTCCTGCATGACCTGACTAGGGCCGGAATGAACTGCAACCAAGGTGCATGCCCTTGATTGGAATCGAACCCACAACTCATTGGTCTGCAGGCTGACACTCTAACCACTGAGCCAAACTGGCCAGGGCTTGATGGCATTTTTATACACCAATAATGAACGTTCAGAAAGAGAAACTAAAAACAATTCCATTTACTATAGCAACAAAATATTAAGATATATAGGAATAAACTTAACCAAAGAGGTAAAAGATCTGTTCTCAGAAAACTACAGGACATTGAAAAAAGAAATAGAGGAAGATATAAGAAAGTGGAAGCATATACCATGTTCATGGATTGGAAGAATCAACATTATTATTATTATTATTATTATTATTATTATTTTTAATCCTCACCTGAGGACATTTTTCGATATTTTGTTCAGATTGGGAGGGAGAGAGAGAGAGAGAAACATCAATGTGAAAGGCACATCAAGTGGTTGCCACCCACATGGGCCGGGGACAAACTGCAACCGAGTTACGTGCCCTTAGTGGGAACCGAACCCAGGCCTCTCTAGACCGCGGGCCAGCGCTCTAACTGCTGAGCCAAACCGGTCAGGGCAAAATCAGCATTATTAAAATGTCCATACTAGCCCAGCCGGTGTGGTTCAGTGGATTGAGCATCGTCCCATTGACTGAGGGGTGCTGGTTAGATTCCAGGTCAGGACATGTGCCCAGGTTGCGGACTTAATTCTCAGTAGGGAGTGTGCAGGAGGCAGCCGATCAATGTTTCTCTCATTGATGTTTCTATCTCTCTCCCTCTTTCTAAACATATCAATAAATGCCCTGGCTGGTTTTCTCAGTGGTTAGAGCATCGGCCCACGGACCAGAGAGTCCTGGGTTTGGTTTCCGCTAAGGGCACATACCTTGGTTGTGGTTTGTCCCTGGCCCCGGTTGGGGTCATGTGGGTGACAACCACTTGATGTGTCTCTCTCATATCAATGTTTCTCTCTCTCTCTCTCCTTCCCTCTCTTCCACTCTATCTGAAGATAAATGCGAAAATGTCCTTGTGTGAGAATAAAAAATAAAAAACTTTTAAAAATACCATTAAAAATGTAAAAAAATAAAATTGAAAAAATAATTTCTATACTATCCAAAGCAATCTACAAATTCAGTACAATCTTTAATAAAATACCAATGGCATATTTCTCTTTTTTTAAATCCTCACCTGAGGATATTTTTCCATTTATCTTCCGTTAGAGTGGGGGTTGAGGGGGAGAGAGAGAGAGAGAGAAGCATCTATGTGAGAAATATGCATACGCATTGATTGGTTCCCTCCCACACAACCCTGACCAGGGCCGGGGACCAAACTGCAGCTGAGGTGCATGTCCTTGACTGGAATCGAAGCTGCTACTCTTTGGTCCATAGGCTGACGCTGTAACCACCGAGCCAAACCAGCCTGCACCAAACAGCATAGATCACAGATCTACAACAAATACTCCAAAAGTTTACGTGGAATCATAAAAGATCCCTAATAACCACAACAATCTTGAAAAAGAAGAACAAAGTGGGAGGGATCACAATGTCAGATATCAAGTTATACTACAAAGCCATTGTAATCAAAACAGCCTGGTCCTAGCACAGGAACAGACATATAGATGAATGGACAGAACAGAGAAGCCAGAAGTTGACCAAAGACATTATGCTCAGTTAATATTTGATAAAGGAGGCAAGCGCATACAATGGAGTAAAGATAGTCTTTCAATAGATGGTGTTGGGATAATTGGACAGGTACGTGCAAAAAAGAAATTAGCCCTGGCTGGTTTGGCTCAGCAGTTAGAGCATTGGTCTGTGGTCTAGAGAGACCCGGGTTCGGTTTCCGCTAAGGTCACGTACCTCAGTTGCAGTTTGTCCCCGGGTGTGTGGGTGGCAGCCACTCGATGTGTCCCTTTCACATCGATGTCTCTCTCTCTCTCTTCCTTTACCTCCCTCCCACTCTGTCTGAACAAAAAGTGGAAGAATGTCCTCGGGTGAGGATTTAAAAAAAAAAGAAATTGGCCTTGGCCGATTTGGCTCAGCGGTTGGAGCGTTGGCCTGCGGACCAGAGAGTCCTGGGTTCGGTTTCTGCTAGGGGCACATACCAAAAAAAAAAAAAAAAAAGAAATTGGCCATCAACTTACACCATACACCAAGAATAAACTCAAAATGGATAAAAGAGTTAAATGTAAAATCATGAGACCATAAAAATTCTAGAAGAAAATGCAGACAGCAAAATCTCAGACATCACCTCAGAATTTTCACCTATACATCACCTAAGGCAAGAGAAATCAAGGAAAAAATTAAAAAGTGGGACTACATCAAACTAAAAAGTTTCTGCACAGCAAAAGAAACCAACATTAAAATGGAAAGGGAGCCCACTGTATGGGAGAACATACTTGCCAATGATATATCAGATAAGGGGTTAATATTCAAAATATATAAAGTTCTCATACAACTCAACCAAAGGAAGACAAATAATCCAATTTTAAAATGTCCAGAGGACCTGAATAGACATTTCTCCAAAGAGGATATACAAATGGCCAAGAGATATATGAAAAAACGGTCAATGTCACTAATCATCAGAGAGATGCAAATTAAAATGACTGAGGTTTCACCTCACAAATGCCAGAATGGCTGCCATCAACAAATCATCAAACAAGTGCTGGTGAGGATATGGAGAAAAGGGTACTATAGTACACTGCTGGTGGAAATGTAAGACTGGTGTAGCCACTATGGAAAACAATATGGTGTTTCCTTAAAAATTTAAAAATGGAATGATCCCACTCCTAGGTATATATCCTAAGAATCCTGAAACACCAATCAGAAAGAGTATATTCACCACTATGTTTGTAGCAGCACTATTTACAATAGCTGAGATCTGGAAACAGCCCAAGTGTCCATCAGTAGAATGAGTGGATGAAGCGATGGTACATTTACACAATGGAATACTATGCAGCTGTAAGAAAGAAAGATCTTTTACCCTTTGAGATGACATGGAGGGACCTGGAGAGTATTATGCTAAGTGAAATAAACCAGTCAGAGAAAGACAAGTATCACATGATCTCACTTTTTTGTGGAATATAAGGAATAAAATAAGCTGATGAACAAAATAGATCCAGAGACATGGAAGTCGGGAACAGACTGACAAACTTCAGAGGGAAGGGGGTGGGGGTGGGAAGAGATGAACCAAAGAACTTTTATATATGTGTGTGTAACTAATTGACACAGACAACAAACAGTGCAGTGAAGGTGGGTTGGGGGGGGAGGCAGGCGGGGGATGGGAGTGGGGGAGGGTGTCAATGTGGGGGAAAGGAAGGGACATCTGCAATATTTTAAACAGTAAAGATAAAATTTTTATGTTTGTTAATCTTCATCCGAGGATATTTTTCCATTAATTTTTAACAGAGTGGGAGGGAGGGAGAGAGAAACTTTGATGTGAGAGAGACACAGCAATTGTTTGCCTCCTGCATGACCCCAACTGTGGTTGGGGTTTGAACCTGCAACCCAGGTACGTGCCCTTGACTAGGAATCAAACCACAACCTTTTGGTCCACAGGCCCATGTTTTAACCACTGAGCCAAACCAGCCAGGGCAACATACTTTTTTTTTTTTAATGGTTAAGATGCTTGAGTACATTATGCTAAGTGAAATAAGCCAGTCACAGAAGGACAGATACTGTATGAGTCCACTTATATGAGGTATCTAAAATAGTCAAACTCATAAAACCAGGGGCACAGAGGAGGGGGAAATGGGAATTGCTAATCAACAGGTATAAAATTTCAGTTATGCAAGATGAATATGTTCTAGAGATCTGTGCAATGCTGTGTCTATAGTTAACAGTATTGTACCTTTAAAAATCTGTTAAGAGAATAGGTTTCTTATAAAGTGTTCTTACCGCCCTGGCCGGTTTGGTTCAGTGGTTAGAGCGTCCGCCTGCGGTCCGGAGAGGCCCGGGTTCGGTTCCCGCTAAGGGCATGTACCTCGGTTGCAGTTTGTCCCCGGCCCTGGTTGGTCGTGTGGGTGGCAGCCACTCGATGTGTCCCTTTCACATCGATGTTTCCCTCTCTCTCTCTTCCTCTCTCTCCCGCCCACTCTGTCTGTACACAAAAATGGAAAAATGTCCTCGGATGAGGATTAAAAAAATAATAATAAAACTAACCTTTTAAAAAAATAAATAAATAAAATAAAGTGTTCTTACCACAATAAAATAAAAATTTTAAAAGTGCTTACGATGGTAAATTTTGTTTATATGTACTTTACTACAATTAATTTTTTTTAATCTTAAAAATAGTATAGTAAGGTTATCATAACAGGCAACAACATTTGTTTTTTCCTCAGTTTTGTTGTTGTTGTTGTTAATCCTCACCCAAGGATATTTTTTCCATTGATTTTTAGAGAGCATGGAAGGGAGGAGGGAAGGGGAGAGAGAGAAACATCGATGTGAAAGAGATACATTGATTGGTTGCCTCCTGTGCACACCCCAACCCAGGCCAGAGATCAAACGTGCAACCCAGATATGTTCCCTTGACTGAGAATCTAACCTGCCATCCTCTGGTGCGTGGGCAGATGCTCTAAGCACTACTGAGCCATGGTGTCCAGGGCTATTTTCAGTTTTTCTTCTTCATAGGAAAATAGCCATTCACTTAAAAGAGAGAGAGGGTAAGGGGCAGTAATCTCCTTAAATATATGTTGTTTGTTTCAGTATGCTTCTTATTATTCACACTGAAAATTATATTCATGTTTGTTGAGTGCTTCTACATTGCAATATTTTGGAGAATCAAATTAATAATAATATAAAATTATTACAGAATAAGACTTGGTCTGTTTGTAGTACTCTGGAGACCTAATTCACAGTGGTTTCATTAAGAATCATACCATATATTCTCTGCCCTTAGGAGCCCAGTGCTTTGAGAAATAAGAAAAGCTCTCGTCGAGTCAGCTTTGCAGATACTATAAAGTAAGTTGAAAGGAAAAATAATTTAAAATGACTGGTAATGCTTTGTTGTGTGTCAAACTAAATATGTTGGTGCTGACTCAGATAATCTGTTTCTTTTCTTTTTGTTAATCTTCACCCAAGGATATTTGTCCATTGATTTTTAGATAGAGTAGAAGGGAGGGAGGAAGAGAGAGAGAGAGAGAGAGAAACATCGATGTGAGAGAGACACATCAATTTGTTTCCTTTTGCACGATCCCGACTGGGGCTGGGGATCGAACTTGCAACCCAGGTATGTGTCCTTGACTGGGAATCGAACCCACGACCCTCTGTTCCTTAGGCTGACACTCTGTTGAGCCAAACCAGTCAAGACAGTAATCTGTGTTTCTATTAGATGAGCATTAGAAAATTATTATTTAAAAGGTTGTTGTTGCCCTGGCCGGTTTGGCTCAGCGGTTGAGCGTCGGCCTGCAGACCAGAGACTCCCAGGTTCGGTTCCCGCTAGGGGCACATACCACCAAAAACAAAAAAAATAAAATAAAAGGTTGTTGTTTAGCATTATGCTTAAAAGGAAAACATTGAAACTATTCCCTCTAAAGTCAGAAACAAAACTATTAAGTCTTACTACTGTCATTTATTGTATTGGAGGTGCTAACCAACAAAAAATAAAGTAGACAAAGAATTGGAGTTACAAAAATTGCAAAGATGGAGGTAAATCTATTACTTTTTGCAAATTTTATATTATGAAAATCCAAGAATATCAGTTGAAATACCTCTACAGACAGACATAAGTAGTAGGATATAAAATTAACAAGGAAATCAACATATTTTCTCTCTATAAATAATAATCTGATAGAAAATAAATGTTTTTTTCTGTTACATTTTGTTGCTGTAAATATGATAATAAAACCATATAAAGAAGAAAACATGCCCAGCTGTTGTAGTTCAGTGGCTGAACATCAACTCGTGTACCAAGAGGTTGCTGGTTCGATTCCTGTTCAGGGCACATGCCCAGGTTGTGGGCCCAATCCCCAGTGTGGGGGCATGCAAGAGGTGGCCAGTCGATGTTCTCTCTCATCAATGTTTCTATCTCGCTCTCCCTCTTCTTTCCTCTCTCTCTCAAATCAATAAAGAAACAAAATTTTTTTTAAAAAGAGAAGAAAACATTACTAAAGAATGCTAAAGGATAAATATACAAATGAAGACATAACAAGTTCCTGAATAAAAGATTCAACATCATAAAGATTTCGTTTCTCCCTAAATTTGTTTATTAATTGAATATAATTCTTATATTGTGTTTTAATGATTATATTCTTGATGTTTAGCAGTATATTTATTTTCTCATTGATTCAAGAGTCATTTAATAGAGAATTTAAAAATATCTAAGTGGTAAGGGCATTTTGTTGTTGTTAATTTTTACTTATATTGTAGACAGAATGTTAATCTTGTATTATTTTTATTTCTATTAGATTTTCTTTGTAATCTTGTATATGATCAATTTTTGTGCATGATCCATAGATACTTGAAAAGAAGGTGTGTGTGTGTGTGTGTGTGTGTGTGTGTGTATATATATATATATATATAATTTTGTTTTTCTCACCAGAGGATATTTTTCTCTTTATCTTTTTCTGTTTATCTTCAGATAGAGTGGGAGGGAGGGAAGAAGGGGGAAAAAGAGAGAGAGAGAGAGAAAGAGAGAGAAATGTCACATGACCCTGACCAGGGCTGGGCACGAGCTGCAACTAAGGTATGTGCCCTTGACTGGAATTGAACCCATGACTCATTGGTCTGTGGGCCAACGCTCTAACCACTGAGTCAAACCAGCCAGGGCAAGATATATTTTGTAGAGTTTGATAGTTATATCCACCTTATACCTTATGTTATTTGGGTATTTTATAATTTTCCATAATTTTAGTCATTTTAATCTGTCATGAATTATAAAACAGAGGTAAATTAATCTCATTGATAGTGCATCTTACTCTATCTCTCTTTATACTTCCAGTCATTTTTCTTTATGAATGTTGATCCTCTGTTCATTGGTATGTCATCGTTATATTGTCATTTGGAATTGCACTTTCTAGCACTATGAAATATTTTTTTTGGTTTTGTTTATTGCTTTTTTTTTTAATCCTCACCCAAGGATATTTTCCCGTTTATCTTCAGATAGAGTGGGAAGGAGAGAGAGATAGACATCAATGTGAGAGAGACACACTGATTGGTTGCCTCACACATGACCCCAACCAGGGCTGGGGACCAAGGTACGTGCCCTTGACTAGAATCGAACCTGCAACTTTTTGGTCTGTTGGCTGACGCTCCAACTGCTGAGCCAAACTAGCCAGGGCTTATTTATTTCTTTTTCACCCAAATTCTACCTAGACTGATATTAAGATTATTGTTTCTGCTATATTTTTGTTTTTATTTGTCTGGTATTCCTTTGTGTGTTGTTCAACCATGTATGAACAATGGTAAAATTAGTCTACTTACTCTCCCCCAACCCAATTTTAATCAATAATCTACCTTTGTACTATTAATATGTTTAAACTTCAATTAAAACTTGACCCATGCACCAAGGAGTCACCAGTTTGATTCCTGGTCTGGGCACATGCCCAGATTGTGGGCCAAATCCCCAGTGGGGAACATGCAGGAGGCACCAGTTGATGTTCTCTCTTATTGATGTTCTCTCTTATCAGTGTTTCCATCTCTCTCTTCTTCTCCCTTCCTCTCTCTCTAAAATCCATAAAGAAAAAAAACCTTTATTTTTAAAAGATGAAATATTGCCATTTGTGGCATTGTTGATGATCTTGAGAATCTTATGCTAAGTGAAGTAAGTCACATGGAAAAGGACAGCGCTGGATGGTGTGGCTAAGTTGGTTGGAGCATTATCCAGTACACCAAAAGGTTGTGGTTTGATTCCTGGGCAGGGCACATACCCAGGCTGTGTGTTTGATCCCTTGTCAGGGTTGTATGGGAGGCAACGATCTATGTTTCTCTCTGACATTGATGTTTTTCTCTTTCTTTCTTCCTTCCTCTCTCTCTAAAATCAATAAAAACATATCCTTGGGTGAGGATTCAAAAAATGAAGAAAGAAAAGGACAAGAACTGAATGATTTCATTCATGTGTGGGTTATAAAACAAGTAGCAAATGAACAAACAAAAAAACAAGCTTATAGATACAGACAACGGAATAGCTAATTACCAGAAGGGTTAGAGAGAAGGGGAGGGAAGATGAAGAGGGTAAAGAGAGTCAAATATTTGGTGCTGGAGGGAGACTAGACTTCAGGTGGTGAGTACACAATAGAGTGTACAGATATATTATAAAAATATATACATGGGAAAAAATGTATTGTTTTATATGTTATCCTTTGGCAGTTATAATAGGTGAGGCAGTTAACGTATTTCTACCTCTCACCTTCTGTGCATCATTCCCTTTCCAATTTTTTAAGTTGTATCATATTTTTCTCTTTTTCTCTCAGTATTTGACATTAGGGAATCTGTCAAATTTGTTTGTCTTAGTTCTATTATATATAGTATTTTAATGTTCACACCAGTTCCTTTGCTATATATAGTTGCCCTAATTATCTCTTGGTTGGAAGAAGTTTATTCTTTCCCCAAGTTGTTGGGTGCTCAAAACTGTTATAATCTTTTTTTTTTAATCCTCACCCGAGGACATTTTTCCATTTTCTGTTCAGATAGAGTAGGAGGGAGAGAGAGAGAGAAACATCGACGTGAAAGGGACACATTGAGTGGCTGCCACCCGCACGACCAACCAGGGCCGGGGTGCAAACTGCAACCAAGGTACGTGCCCTTAGCAGGAACCGAACCCAGGTCTCTCTGGACCGCAGGTCGATGCTCCAAACGTTGAGACAAACCAGCCAGGGCTCAAAACTGTTGTAATCTTTATACTTAAAGAAGGTCTGTATGGATATAAAATTTTCATTTATATTTTCTTTTTTTAAGGAACTTGTTAATGTGGTTCTGTTATCTTCTGGCATTGAATGTTTCTATGAACAAGCCTGAGGAGTGCATGATTTCCCCCCTCATGAAATGATTGGATCTTTGTGACAGGCTGCCTAACAGATTTATCTTTGACGTTTATTGATTTTATTAGGATATATCTCAATTTTTAGTGTTTTGGGTCTTGAATCTTGAATTGATCTTTAAATATTTTTTTCTATTCCATTATTTTAGATTTCTCTAGGGACTCAATAATTTATGAACACAAATTATCTTTATATTCATTGTTTTTTTATTGCATTATTTTCTTAATTTCTTATATTTCTTTTTTATTTTTAAAAATTTATATCTTTTTTCATATTTTCCAAAGTGCTTATTCAACCTTGTGTCCCTTCCAGTTTTGCCTTCATTCTGTGATGATTATATGTTTTCTTCTGCTTCTTTCATAAGTTCCATCTATTTGTGTTTCATTTCTGCTGTCTTATTATCTCTCCTTGAGTTCTTGTATTTCTGCTTTCATTTCTTTCATAGAGGTGATTGTTTTGCTATACTTTGTAAATCCTTTGCAAACTGTGTGTGTGTACAGTTTTTATCTGCTCTGGGACAACATTTTCCTGATGACTATTTTACTTATGTTAATAAATTGCTATGTTTTTCTTCCATACTTATATAGGTGTGTAGCCTTATATAGTATTTTTTTTTCTTTAAAAAAATTTTTATTTCTTTTTATGGATTTTTTTAGAGCAAGAGGAAGGGAGAGGGAAAGAGATAGAAACATCGACGATTGAGAATATTGATAGGTCTCCTCCTGCATTCCCCCACTGGGGATCAGGCCCACAACCTGGGCATGTGCCCTGACCGAGACTCGAACCAGCAGCCTCTTGGTGCATGGGTCGATGCTCAACCACTGAGCCACACCAGCTGGGCTATATATTTTTTCTTCTTCTTTTTAAAAATCTTAACCCCAGGATGGGTGTGTGTGTGTGTGTGTGTGTGTGTGTGTGTACATATACACATACACACATTTTTTTAAATCCTCACCTGAGGATATGTTTATTCATTTTAGAGAG